TATTGCTTCATGGTGGCCTCATGGAGGTGCTTGTGGAAGGGTGTGTTGGAGATGCCACTGGTGGATGGAAGGAATAAGCGACCGGTCGCCTATTTGTGAGTTGGCATGGCTGCTTACTTTTTGGTGGGGTCAGGTGAATGTAATCTCTTCAGGACCAGTTCATGTGTATGGTCTAGCAGAGAGAGCGCTTTTCTATAGTATGCTTGCACTGCAAGCTTCAGTCCAGGGATGTCCCCATCATCGTCCTTGGGTAGGGAAACCCAGCTCCGCAGCAGTTTGACATTCTTGCCTGCAACCTGCTCATGCCACTGTGTCGTCAGCAACCAGGGGCTCACCATGCGACCGTCCAGTGGTGTTTGGACCACCTCCAGTGTTGGCTCCAGTTCTTTGAGCAAAGAATCCACCAGAGCCTGTCGAGCCATTGGCTCACTCTGCCTTTCTTCATCATCCTTCACCTCCCAGAATGCCTGCAGGTCCCCTGAACTTTCCTTCAAGTGCTGTACTTTGCAAGCTCTCCAATGTTTTGGTCTGGGTTCCATCGGGTGGTCTTTGGAGTGATGTTTCCGTAGACGCTCTGTTGACCTGGACAAAAGGTCACAGTGACTGCAAGCCATGGCCTCAAAGACTTTCAGACCATGGACAATGGTTCTAGGCCCAGTAATACCAGTGGGCAGCCGTTCTGTCACCTCCAGTGATGCCATGGCCAGCTTCAAGGTCATGTCACTGTAGGTTGCCTGTCTGCCATGGATCTTTGCCAGATGGCTCTTGACTTCTCCTGCTCTTAATGCCATTTCACAGACCTGGCATGTCAGGAAATGGAACTCTGCATTCACTGCAAGGTCCAATGAATCCAGAAATGCATCAGAGATGAGCCCTGGGGCTGTTGTCAATGGCAAGTGTGGCTGCTGGGACCTTTGTGCCAAAGATGGCACAACATTGCCAGTGTTCTGGTTGTGGGCTTGGATCGCTGACTGAAAGAACTCGAGTCTGGTCGTTAGCAAGTTGGCTCTGATAGACTCACTATGAGAGATGGCAATCGTGGTGCTGGTGCTTGAGGGGATTTTTGAGGAGGGACCGACTTGTGGGCTGTAGGTGACACCATCCTTACATCACCCTGGAATGGTTTCCCAGTCCATGGATAAGCGACCGGTCGCTTATTTGTGGGGAAGCAATGACACTCACTGCTGGTGGTGGGGGTGAATGCATGATTTCATCTTGTGGGATCAACTGGTGAGGAGATGGGATCTTCCCAAAATCCTCTGCTATCTGTTTCCCTGTTTAGCACTGTGGGGTATGGATAGACAGATGCAACACATCTACTCACTGGGGATCCAATGGACCTGTGATGGAACTGGTGTGCCATGACCATCCATCATTCCATTGTCACCAATGGCCATAAGCTTGGTACTCACATCTCCACTGTCACTCTCACTGATATCTTCATGCTATAATGACATTGGGCAGAAGAATAAGCAACCGGTTGCTTATTCTGGCTTGGGCCAGCCACTTACCAAGTGCTTGCTGGCCCTGCTGGGACCACCTGCATTACCCTCCTCCTCATGGGTCTGCGATAGTGATGTCATGGGTGATTGGTCACTTGCTCCTGAGAATACCACTTACCAAGTCCTTGCTAGGTCCAGCTCCAATCCCTTGTCCATGGGTCTGTGAAGGGCAGATAAGCAACCGGTCGCTTATTTTTTTGGTGGATGAAGCCACTTACCAAGTCAAATTTGCCCATGGGTAGATTACCCTGTTAACATGTTCAGAGTTGTTTCCAAATAAGGAAACTATTTCCCACCACTGCTCACCTGTATCTCTGGCCCCTTCCATGTACTACCAGCCTTCTTGATATCAGACTTGAGGTTGCTGGCATACTTGAAGGGCTTGCCACAGCCAAGGGCAGAACAGTTACAAATGAAATCACCCATGTCATTCCTTTGCAACTCAATAGTCTGGTTGGTGTGGGGCAGGTGGATGGTAGCCTTGGAAGAGCATTTCTTGCTGTGAGCTATGTAGGTACTCTTGGTGGAGAAGGTGTCTTCACAGGTGGCACAGACATAGTTGGGCATGGTGAGGTAGATGGTGGTGGTAAGAAGCAGAGATGTAAAGGGGAAAATTTCCCACAGTCAGCTTTATTTATTTGGCTCTACCCACCCTAAACTACCTAATTGGTGTGTCATGCCCATTTGGATGTCCAAATTAGGCAACTACCTTCAGCCTGGTCAGTGGTTTTCTTACTTTCTGCCACAAGTCAAATAAGCAACCGGTCACCTATTTTGCAGGCAGTCACAATGAGTGGCTGTGCTAGTCGTGTTCAGTACTAGTGTCTGACTTGTCCAGATAATCAGCTTGTTCTTCCCAGCTGCCTCCTTGCTACTTTACTTCCCTTGCATCCAGATAAGCAACCGGTCACCTATTTTTCAGACAGTTGCAATGAGTAGCTGTGTCTACTACATCTTTTGGTAATCTGCTGTTTTTGCTAATCAACTGCCTATCATCTTCAATCCAGATAAGCAACCAGTCACTTATTTTCTCTGCTCTCTGTGGCTGTGCATTTCCTTATATGGAGGTTGCATTCAGTGGCTGTGTTGGTTGCATTCACTCACTGAGAGGTTGCATGCAGTGGCTGTGTAGGTTTCATTCAGTGGCTGTGTAGGTTTCATTCAGTGGCTGTGAGGTTTCATTCAGTGGCTGTGTAGGTTTCATTCAGTGGCTGTGAGGTTTCATTCAGTGGCTGTGAGGTTTCATTCAGTGGCTGTGCAGGTTTCATGCAGGAAACCTTCCATATAAGGCAGGGATGCATGTGTGCATTCCTAGATGCATGCACGCATTCCTAGATGCATGTGTGCATTCCTAGATGCATGTGCGCATTCCTAGATGCATGCACTGATGCTACACTCTTCTCTAGATGCATGCATGCATTCCTAGATGCATGTGCACATTCCTAGATGCATGCATGCACACATTCCTAGATGCATGCACCCTTTTCCTAGATGCATGCACTGGTGCTACACTCTTCTCTAGATGCATGTGCACATTCCTAGATGCATGCACCAATGCATGCACCAATGCTACACTGTTCTCTAGATGCATGTGCACTTTCCTAGATGCATGCACGCATTCCTAGATGCATGTGCACATTCCTAGATGCATGCACCCTTTCCTAGATGCATGCACGCATTCCTAGATGCATGCACCCTTTCCTAGATGCATGCATGCATTCCTAGATGCATGTGCACATTCCTAGATGCATGCACCCTTTCCTAGATGCATGCACGCATTCCTAGATGCATGTGCACATTCCTAGATGCATGCACCAATGCTACACTCTTCTCTAGATGCATGTACACTTTCCTAGATGCATGTGCACTTTCCTAGATGCATGCACGCTTTCCTAGATGCATGCACGCTTTCCTAGATGCATGCACGGATGCATGCACGCTTTCCTAGATGCATGCACGGATGCATGCACGCTTTCCTAGATGCATGCACGGATGCTACACTCTTCGCTAGATGCATGCACCCTTTCCTAGATGCATGCGGACCCTGGGGCAGGGTCCGGAAAGCATATTATTAGGGTTTTCACAGGGGTTATCTCCGGGTTATTTACTGGGGTTTTAATGGTGGTTATCTCCAGCTTTTTTACTGCCATTTTCATCCCAGCTCACTTGCCATTACTTCCCCTGCTCCTGTCACCAACTCACCAATCTCTAATCTCTACTCATCATACAAAGCACTAGTCTGTCTTACCACTCCACATAACCAACCCCTCCCTTATTTTCTCTACCCATACCCATCAGCTGCCTCATCATGCTAATCACTCCCTCCCTCAGTAGTGCAGTCAGCCCTATTTCAGATAAGCAACCGGTCGCTTATTTTTTCTAGTACCTGTCAACATCCAGTCCTCCACATCATACCATGTCTTCTTCATACTTTCCTATTTACATTTCCCTCTCCTGTTCATCCAGTTCCCCATGTATCATTGATGTGGTGCCAATCATCATCTGCAAGCACATCACAGTCCTGTGATGCATGTCCTGGCTGCCTTTTATGACACCAACAACACACTCTCTGTGGACAATTCATCTCAATGTGTCCCATCTTCTCGCATTTGAAGCACATCTTGTCTGGTGCAGGTGCCTTGCATTCTTTCCCCAAATGTCCTAGTTCCCCACAATTGTAGCAGATTCCCTGATACACTTTCCTTGCCTTCAATTCTGGCTTCGGCATTTCCCCTGGGTGCACCATGCCCCCAAATCTTGCATGTGTCAAGGGCATGTCATACAATGCCACCCACTTGTGCTGTTCAATCTCATCAGTGTCCTGTCCATCGGTCTCCATTCATCTCACCTGTGCCTTCTTGGTCATAGCCTGTACCATTCTGGCTTCTGTCAGAATCCACAAATACATATGATCCAGTACCCACCACCTCCTCATGACATCCCCCATCATCAAAACCCTGTGGCAATGGCGCTCGGTCTTCTGCCTATGTCACTCACAGATAAGCAACCGGTCGCTTGTCCATGCAAGATGCCTTACCTTGTCCTTACCCTTATTGGACTCGGCCTTTCCCTTCCCTTTCCTTGTCTTCTTTGTGGTCCTAGTGGCTGTGGTGTGGGTGGTGATAGTTCCCTAAGGCCTTCAGTCAACTCCACTACTTTCCATCTCAAGTTCAAATGACTTGCATGTGACACAAAGGTCATCTTGCCAATGCTCTGTCACCAACCATGCAAATAAGCAACCGGTCGCTTCTCAACAGCCCAACCCAATCTCACCTGAGTGTTCATCTTGTTTGGTTCTGTTTGTTTCAGCCCTTAATCAGGAAGGTAGTGGTTTCAGGTTAAGAGGCAATCGTCACACTCCATCTCAGTTGTCACATTGATATCTTATTCCTGCTGCTTACATAACAACTGTACATGATCATGTGATCATTTTCCCACGCCTCCTGTGTGGTTCATCAGTTACCCAGCATCCCAGATACACACCAGTCCTGCTGCACTCTATTCTGACTCTGCATCCGATCCTGTACCACACTCTGAAGCCATATCATCTGTACCAGACCCTGGATTAGATTCCGTATCGGGTATTCGCACTGTGCCAAGACCTCCAGGTCAGTCACTTCACTGACAGTGTGTGTGAGTGACTCACCATTTTCAGACCCACTCCGTTCCTCCTCTTCATCTCCCCCCTCCTCTCCCTTCTCGCTGGCAGAGTCATCGTTGATAAATGAATTCTCACCATCTGAGTCTTCTGATGTCTCATCCTCACTGCCGCTACCTTCTGCAATGGCCTCAGTATCCAAAAAGCCCTTCAAGCTCTGCCTGACTGCCTTGGCCTCCGCTGCAGTCAATTCTTTCTTCTGTAGCCGCTTTCCCAGTTTGACGTCTTTCTTCATGGGGGGCACTGTGTAATGTGAGATTCAATGTGAGTGAGTGTCCAAGTACCTCTAAGCCCTCCAAGAGGCACTTGCCTGTCTTTGCCTTGCATGTGCCTTTGACCACTGCTAGGCCCCTTTGATTTTTCTTGCCAGACTTGGCTGCAGTAGGCTCTGCAGGACATGCCAAATAAGCGACCGGTCGCTTGTCAACCCATGACTACTCACCATCCTCTTCCAATTGTGCTGGTTAGATGCAGAGTTCAGTCACTGGTCAATTACGATCATTAGGCAAGACACCCACAAATTTCCCATTCATCTGGGGTAGTCTGCTGTGGTGCTGTGTGCATGTCAAAGATCAGTGACTGCTTGCTTCCATGGTTTCACCAGATCAAAGGACACTGACTGTCATGGGTGCTAGGCCCAGTCTCCCCTTCTCCATCCCCTGCCAATTCAGTGGGATCAATCTTCTTGAAGGACAGCCCTGTGTGGATAGCATGAGTGAATGCTGTTAGCTATGGGCCAACACACACCTTTCAAAGTCTCTGTCAACTTTGACGAAACATCTGAACATCCAGTGAAATCAGTGATTGCTGAGACATGCATTCAGTGTAAAATCTTGCCTTCAACATTTCCACAGACTTTGGCAGCAGCAACGGTAGCCAGTCGCTCCTCCTCCTCCATCCGTTTGTCAAAGTCTGCTACATGGCACTCATCATCCTGTGCATTCTTCCTCTGATTGATTCGTGCCACCCTGGCACTCAGCTTCTTCATATGTGCCCCCCTGGGCTGGAATACCCGGGCTTTCTCCACCTCACTCATCTCCTTCTTCAATTGCCTCCCTTCTTTTGCTTTCAACTTCGCTTCCTCCGCCAGCAATTCCCGGTCCCCATGAACAAATGTGCCAGCTTTTCTAAATGAGTCCAGACCCCTACCTTCCTGTGGACCCCAGCAACTTGTGGTGGTATCGTCATCGGCCCTTGGTGGCATCTTGACTTCATAGGTTTCCCACATTGCATTGGAAAACTTCATGCCCTCCACATCCTCCAGAGGGTCGGCCAGCTGGGCAACATGTCGCTCTGACTCTAGTATGGCAAGCTGTAAAATAAAATAAAAAATAAGCAACCGGTCGCTTATTTCAGACCCACACACTCACCTCCAGGCATCTCTTTGCAGCATCATACAGATCAGGTGAAACCTGACCATTCTTCATCACCCCAAGTCCCTCAGAAAATAAAGTCTTCACCACAGTGGCCACCTTGGCCTTGTTCTTCACATGCAGTTCATGCTCCAACGCCATACGCACTGCTCGATTGTCGGTCGTCTCGTTTTTCATGGGTGCCAAGGTATCGTATTTGTCCATGGGAAAATGAACTTCTGGTTGCTCCTGTATCCCATCCCACCATGTCCAACTGTCCTTTGGGACACCACCACAAAACTGCATGAGACCCTGCACTTTGCGACGCAACTCCCACACCACTGTAGTTCCCAAGAGCTGTTCACGGCATGCCTTGTCAAGTATCAGTGGCGCCAGTGCCTTCACCAGCTGGGCTGTCCCTTTGAACATGGCTTTCGGGAATGCTGTGACACGCATCATGTCGATGATGCCCTTTGCCACTATCGTCTGGTTTTCAAAATTGTAGCCCTCAAAGTCAACAGACTGATTGGGGGCTGGACGGAGATATGGAAGGGGTCGTGTTGCCCGTGTCCAGCTTTCCACCTGTTCCTGATAGGCTTTGATGTTAGCCTCGACACGCCCCAAGAATTCCTTGTCTGTAATGATCGTTGGCAGTTTTCCCAAAGTATATGCTCTCATATCCACATTGTTCCTCGTCAGGTAGCTCTGTGCCATGAGGAGGTGGGGCCGCTCTTGGCACAAGAAATCACCAATCTGCAATGAATACCAACATTCTGGTCAGCAGAGCCAGAGAATAAGCGACCGGTCGCTTGTTTCTCACCATGGCTATGACTTTTTCAGAGCTTGGTCCACACCGTGATGCATTTGCAATCCATGCACGTGATGCATCCCGCCATACTCTGTCTCCTCGCTGTTGACATGCCAAGGCAAAAAATGGTTCCACCCAGCAGACCACCTAGGTAGCTTTGCATCAGATTGACTGCTCCTCGTCCAGTACATTAAAAACTCGCACCTCCTTGATGATATCTCCCAAATCAATCTTTGGCATGCCAGTGGGATCGTGGAAGAGTCGTTGGATGTTATTGAACATCAACTTGTTGCCAATGGGCAATGCCTTGAAGCTAGATGGATGGCCTGTTCGCAGCATGTACCCCTCGTGCACCCACTCCAACTTGGCATGCACTGTGGCACGAACCTTGTCATCATCGCTGGTGGTCTCCCTGAGGGTGACATTTTGTCCTTCGATGGTGGCCAGACTAGCCAGTCGTTGGAAATATTGGGTCACCAAGTTCTCCCACTTGCCTTGGCTGATCTCATCATTCACAGCCCAGAGGCGCCATGGGTTCCCATCCATATGCTTCTTCGTGACATCTGCCCATGCACTTCCCCATACGTTCGCATACTCATTGACAATCTCCCATGCAAAGTATGGCGATCGCATGGTCAAGGCCCACATTTCTCGTGCCACCTTCCTGCACTCCTTATCCTTCAACTCGCCCTCACCTGCATGTTCCCTCACAGATGTCAAGGTTGGAACTGGAATGGGTGCTGCCAGGAATTTGAATATGTCTAAGACATATTCACACAGAAGTAATTGTATCTGCAAGGACATTGAGATATGGATGACGTCCCATTTAAAGGAAGACCACTTACTCCACCTGTGGAACACTGCCAGCTTTCAAGTTGCCGGGTCGTAAATCCAGTGTCCAGCTTCGACTTGACGGTCCCTCCTTGGAAATGTTTGAGGTGCATGAGTTTCATCACGCTTGTGTACAACTCTTCATCTGCCAAGATCCGACTCAGTCGGCTCACTCGAGTGCTACCTGCTCGACGCCGCACTTCTTCTACGTACTTCTCCTTGGCATCCCGGTCGTTTTCCAGGGTTGCAAGGATGTTCAAAACCTGATACAACTTGTCATCGTCATCATCAGGCAGCGTCACTGCTGGTGTGTTGCCACTCAGGTTTTCCAACAACCAAGTGCGGTTGGTGTGGACATCCAATTTGTCTGGTTAGGTTGTTTTTCATCAGCCATATAAGCAACCGGTCGCTTATTTTTTTATTTTTTTTTTTCACACTGACCTTTGTTGATGAAGTGAACCAACCATGACCCACTTCGTTCCAACTCCATCGTCGCCTCATCCATTAGATCTTCCAACTTGTCCTTGTGCTCCTCCCCATAGATGCTATTGGTCAACTGAACCCCCTTTGTATACTGAACATGGGTCCGTTGGACAGTCATGAGCTTCATCACCTCACGGCGGTGATTTCCATTGAGGAAGCTCGCTTCGTGCTTGGCTACTTCCGCCGTCCACCTCACATGGTTGGTATAGGTGCCAAGTTGCACCGGTCGCAGCGAACCCAGGTCAATCACTGCTGGTGGCACTGCTACCACCATGGCATTCCAGACTACCTTGTTCTGTAGTCCTCGCAAACTGATGCTATTCTTGAGCTGCACCAGATATCTGTCATTGAGTGGCCTTGGGTTATATTCACGTAGTCGGAGTATGGGCCCTCGTTCCAGGTCACATCGCTCATTGGCCTTGTCTCGGATCGTCGTCATCAGCGCATACCCCAGTGACAGGTCTGCAAGTGCTTTTTCGTTTGCCATGCTCTGCAAGTCTGCCTCAGTGAGCTCTGTCTTCTTGACATTCGGCACCTGTGACCATTGTCATGTCAAACACATGAGACCAGTGAAGCTGGGACCACTTACGACATCTTTGCTCAAGATGACCCGATCAGACAGCTTTGGAAAGATTTTCTGATGGCATGTCAACCTCTGGCATACCTACCATCGAATTTTACCATCTCACACACCTTTGTCTCTCCAGTTTTCTATTGTCCACCACCTGGTCAGCATGCATGTCTGATTTTCAGTCACTTCACACTTGCCTTGTGCTGATACACCATCGGTTGCTCTGCCTTTTCCACTGGTACATTGCTCTGAGGGTTGGCATCAGACATCAGACCCCCTGGGACAGGTCAGGCCCTGCTTACCCCACTTGCGACTGGTAGGGGTTCCCACTCATCCTGTGTAAGACAGATACATCAGTGGCTGGTCAACAGACCTTGAACTGGTACTGACCTCGGTGGTTGTCACCTTGCCTTTGCCCTTGGAAGCTTTGGGACCACGCTTTCTGGTCAGAATTTCCTTGGGTGGTGGCTGTTGGATCAGAGTCAAAAATAGGTGACCGGTCGCTTATTTGGGCCAATAACATACCATCTGTGCCCTAGTGGATCCTTTATGGGCCTTCTTCTGACGCTTGCTCTGTGACTTGAAATCATGTCATGTCAGCAATCACCATGGAATCCAAGTCAACAGTGAGTGCTTTACCACTGCCTCTGAGACCCCTCCAGTTTCTGTTCCTGCAGTCTCTTCCACTTCGTCCTGGTGTCCACGTTTCTACATTGATATCAGTTGTTAGTGACATGTACATGCCTCGTGTGGACCATAACCTACCTTGGAATTTTTCTTGGGGCTCTTCTTGCCACCATGCTTTTGCAATGGTCAGAAATGATAAGCGACTGGTCGCTTATTTTTGGATGATGCCAACTTACCTGTTTGACAACCATCTTTCCCCCCTCTTCACCCTCGGGTGCAGTCACCTATGAGGTGTCGACAAGAATAAGCAACCGGTCACTTGTTTATGGGTGACATGAACTTACCTGTTCGACATCCATCTCTCCCCCTTCTTCACTCTCAGGCGCAGTCACCTATGAGGTGTCGACAAGAATAGGCAACCGGTTGCTTGTTTATGGGTGATGTGAGCTTACCTGTTCGACATCCATCGCTCCCCCATCTTCACCCTCGGGTGCAGTTGCCTATGAGGTGTTGACAAGAATAAGCGACTGGTCACCTGTTTATGGGTGATGTGAACTTACCTGTTCCATGTCCATCTCTCCCCCATCTTTGCCCTTGGGTGCAGTCGCCTATGAGGTGTCGACAAGAATAAGCAACCGGTCACTTGTTTATGGGTGACGTGAACTTACCTGTTCGACATCCATCTCTCCCCCTTCTTCACCCTCAGGTGCAGTCACCTATGAGGTGTTGACAAGAATAAGCGACTGGTTGCTTGTGGGAGGTGAGAGAGAAAAAAAAAACTCACCTTTGTTGCCTTCCTTGCTGCTAACCTTTTGTGAGCAGCAGTAGACTGGGCATGTGAGAGATTGATGGCTGCAGCCACATCTGTTCCAGTGGAAACACCCTGAAAAGATGGTCAAAATAGGCGACCGGTCGCTTGTCAGAGGTTCCACATCACTTACAGTGGGTCTGGGGGGCTGGGAAAGTTGTGACATGACATGATACACATGCAAGTCAGTGTGGTTTCCGGGAGATGAGGTATGCCACAACTTACCTGGGGCACAGCAGTCCTTTTGCCAGACTTGCTGTTGTTGTTGTTGGACTGCAGGCAGGGGGAGAGAAATAAGCGACCGGTTGCTTATTTTTCCAATGACTTTGACTTACCTTGGTCTGATTTTGGTTGGTGCTGGACATGATTTTGTTATTTGTATCTGTTTGTACTTAATCCAAATGCAGTAGGCGGTGGTTCAAGTTCAAGATGCAAAAGTTACACAGCCACCAATCTGACCTTGGTATATACTTGTTTGTTGATTATATAATGCTGTGACTTCCATATTTGGACATTAAATAATCAATCAATGAACTATGTGAAAGTGGTGCTATTTATTGCTTATGTAATCAATCAAGTAAGCCATGCTGGCTTGGGTGTGCACCCAATGGTTGTGGGCATGCCCCACAAAAAAAATAGGTGACCGGTCGCTTATCTTGATACACCAGCATTTTGGTTGATGCTTCTGACCAGAGTTGGTGTCCTTCTTGAAGAGAGGGACAAAGAGATGTGACACAAGGAGAAGAAACTGGTGATGAATGAGCATTGTGACCACAGTGTACTTTATGCATACTTGCCATTCACCCTCCCTGATCTAGCTGTGAAGATGAAGGGGTTCCACTGTTGCCTGGTGGCACAGATCGGCTATCAGCTGTGTGATTGCTGCAGTATGGTGATAGCAGTGTGCTTACCCCTTGTCTTTTCCCTGTAGCATCCCGTCGTAGTTTGTCTCTGACAATCTGAATGTCTATTACCTGCTTTCCAATGGCCTCGATGTCTGCCAGAGTTTCTGCAAGCTTCTGTAGACCTTCCTCTGATGGTTTCCACCCCACCAACTTCTCTTCCCCACCTTCCATGACGATCTGAGGACTCAAGTACAGTTTGGAGATGGTCATGTCCCATGCCCCAGTGATCACTTCCTGCCACTCTGGTGCCCAGGTGGCCAGATCTAATTTGGTTCGGCAAAACTGCAGTGATGCCTCTTTCTCTGCAATCATAATGTCCAAGCACCTCATACGAATCTTGACGACATATTCCCTACCACAGTTGAATGATGGTCGCCGCTTGTGAAGGGAAGATGGGAGAGTCCCATTTGCTTTGTGCTCATACAGTTCCCTCAGGTCTTCCTCTAGCAAGCAAGCCCGTGTAGTTACAAATCTCAGATCCTCCATGAGCGGCAGCAAGTACTCCATGTAATCCAAGTGGACAAACTTGACAATGTCATGGTGACTGCCTGCAAGCTGCAATTCAGCCACTTCATAGGTGGGCAGATCATATTTCTGTGAGTATCAAAGGTTGGGGTCGCTGTAGCTTTGAATGAATGATGATCGATCTCAAACTTACTGTGGATTTGGTGACAGGGCATGGTCCCAGCAACAATGGTGGCATGGTCTGTCAGTGTATGTGAGTCCTGTCCCTTTCATTTGAGTGAAACATATGCTTACTTCATCCCCACTGCTGTCCTCATCCTTGCTGCCATCCAGCAATGGCCACATGGGTAGAAGGTTGCCTATTTGTGCCATGTTTTCATTTACTGCTGGGACTCCCTGCTCCTGCTGGTGGCTACCTGCATCTTGTGCCTTTTTGAGGACATTTCTCTACACCATTTGCAGCAAATAAGCAACCGGTCGCTTGTTCATGTGGCCTGGGATGGCCCAGCTGGTGGCAAGTCCATACATACCTTGGCATCTGTGTAGTTGGACATGTCAACTGTGTTTGTACTTGTTTGCACTGTGTACTGATTTAGCAGGTGGTGGTTGCAACTCAAGAAGCAAAATCTGCATAGCCACCCATCTGGCAGTGCTTATGCATGCCTCAGCTGCTTATCTAACCAATATATATATATATATATATCCATATTTGTCAATTACATAATGTAACATCTTCTCATGACAGTCCCTGATCACAAGCGACCGGTTGCTTGTTTGGAGTGCTACTCCTGCTGCTGCTGGTGGTACCACATGATCAATGCAAACAGATTGCTATGATCCCCATGCCTCGGTCGTCCCATCAACCACCTGCTAAACCCTCTGGAATCTCCCCAATTTTGCCCAAATTCTCTCTGTGCTTGCTCTCCCAATGTGGCTTGGCGATGGATCCCATATGCAGCTGGTGCCACCACATCTGCAAACCTACAAGCCTGCCCTCCCAGCGCCCTTTGGAATTGTGGATGTACCTTGTCATTTACCTGTGGGACGTGGCACATCCAGCAGATCTTCTTGTGGTAGGTCTTGTCATAGTGGAGCCCCTTTCTCCACTCCACGTAGTCACTCCATCCATCTCCAGCCAGATGTGGACATTCTCTGATCCCATGTCTCTCCATGGCACCTTTCTTCAGCACTCTGCAAAGGCTGCAACACCCCTGGAAACTTTCCAAAGCAGCCAATATTTTGTCCCCCTCTTCCAATCGCTTGGTCTCTTCCTCTCCTCGTAGTTGTCGTGCCAGTACTGATGCAGCATCGAAGCTAGTCTTCAGAGGAGCAGGCTGTTCTGCTGATTGCCCTTGGATGGATCTCATGGCCTGCTGTTTGAGCCTGGCTGTGCCAGCCACTTGTATGTCCAATGGGTTGTGTCCTGGCTCCTCCAGGCAGACGGTGCATGCCTCATTCCCCTGTTCCATACCACAGCTGATCCCTTTGCTGTCATTGAACAGTGTCATCCCATACCGCAGGCATCTCCTTGGCCCATAGCAATACAGCAGTTCATAGATTGCCCATTTAGCCTCCCCTTCCAGCCCCATGGACTGTATGTCAGGCAGGGTTGACGTCGGTGGAATGATTGTATAGCAGTTGGCTGGCTGTCCATCTCGACCTGCTCTGCCCTGTCCTTGAATGTAATCCACCATGTCAAATGGTCGGTCCATGTGAATGACTGTCCGCACGTGAGGGTAGTCATTCCCAGCACTGAAGGCAGTGGTGGCAATGAGAACCTTGTAGAATCCCTTGATCCACTGTTGGTATATCCATCGTCGGTCCTCGTCTGAGGTCCCCATGTCTCCATTGTAGAATGGATATGCCATCGAGTGCGATAGCTTCTGACCAGCTGCTATGGATGTCACAAACACCAAGGCTCTGTCCCTTTCCTGCCAGCTTCCAGCTTCCACCTCCAACACTTCTGCTACTCGTCGATGCATGGAGTTGACTGGCACCCTTTCCAAGTGATATGCCAGTTCCGATCGGTCTGTACTTTGTCGGATGACCTGGGTTTGCTGTACCAGCTGGAAGGTGGTCTTGACTTCCTCCATGCACCAAGTTGGAAGGGTGGCACTCAGCAGCACTAGCTGCATTGGGATGCTGCGTAGTTGGTGGATGCTTTGAAAGGCCATGCGATAGTCTTTGGCCATGAGAGGAATGTGGGCCTCATCAAATATCAGCCTGGCCACCTTCTTGCTTTGGCTGAGCACTGCCAGGGCAGCCCGCCACTGCGATGTCAATGTCCTGTCAGCCGTGACCAGAATCAAATTGGTGGACGAGTTCAGGGGCTTGTCTGCTGCATAGACTTGATATGGCACTCTGAACTCCTCCAGCCGTCGTTGGTAGTCCAGCATGAGAGAATTCAGAGGCAAGACCAGCACTGTGGCTTCCCTTGGTTGCACCATGCTGGGAATTATTGCTAACATGGACTTTCCAGCTCCAGTACCCAGCACTGCTACCAGGTCTGTTTGTCCTTTGAGGACTGTTGCCATGCAGGCACCTTGTTCCTTTGATTTCCAGGTTGCTGATGGGTTCTTGAGCAGGCCCTGCATCGCCTGCAGGGCTTGACCCAAAATAGCTGACTGACCACTTGTGCTGGGTTCTGTAGAATGGTCTGTGAAATGCCATGTTAGGTGACTCATCTATTGGCAAATGCCTTGTGTGTTCTTACCATGTATGTCGTCCCTTGGCTCAAGTTCAACATCGCTGAGGTCCCAGATAGGCGACCGGTCGCTTATTCCAGACTGGATCCTGGCTAGATTGGATTTAATTTCTGATGATCATCTGACATGGGCATTACTGACCATGACTGGTGCTCTGCCCTTGCTCTTTCTCCCTCTCCTTCCCTTTTCCTTCATCCGTCCTCTCTGATGGGCCTCCTGTGGTGGATCGAAGCACCTCCTGCAACATTCCCTTCAATGCAGGCATCAGCTTGTCCATCACCTTGGTGGCAATCTCATCTGTGGATGGCAGTTTGGCCACCACTGCATCTACCATGGCCTTTTGGATTGCCTCCGTTGGCATGGAATAGGTGACCGGTCGCTTGTTTTCCCTGGGCTCTGATGCAGGTGGGGGTGGGGGTGGGGGTGGGGATGGGGATGGGGCATGTGTCCGTGCAGTCTTGTATGATGCTGACTGGCCACCGACTGGCACCTGGCAGTGCCTTTGCCATTCCATGCTGGCATTGAGGTATGCAGGTAGCACATCCTCTGCAGCTCCAGCCAGAGCATCCATGCTGATGCCATACACTCGGTTTTCTGTAGATCGACTGTGGCCTGCCTGCAGGGCTTCCACATTGTCTTCCCTGTCCATCTCTATCACATCCTCCACTGCACAGCCAAGCTTTCGTTTCCATGCTGTTTGGATGTGTCGCCACGAGTTGATGGTCAGCCCAAAGTGCATGATGGGAAGGCTGTGCTTGCTCATGATGGTTGACAGGTCTTTGGAGTCAAAGAGGCGATCGTAGTTGACAAAGATGTGGTTGCGATACAGCTCCACCACCTCTGGCTTGTCTGGGAAACATGCCTTGGCTGCAATCTCTGCAAATGGCCGTGCCAAGGCCAGGTCCTGCACCAAGATGTCACTGGTGATGCCATCCAGGGCATGAGGGATCAGCTTGTCTTTCCCTGTCAATGCTGTTGTCTTGAGGTATTGACAAAGGAGGGAGACATGGTTTCCCAGTACTGCCAGGTTCCGAGTTGGCCGGGTCTGGGTGTTGCGATAGGTCATGGCAGTTAGTTCTGTGCCACGACTTGGAGCCCCACTGAGCATCTGGGCTCGCAAAAGTAGCAAGCTTTGCAGCTCTGCATACTTCTTCAACCATGCTTGAAGGGCACCAGTGTTCCATATGATGGCTCCCTGCCTGATCATGGCAAAGTGGGCAAATGTGTCCTCATCTTCTAGGAAGTGCTTCACCAGCCTATCCCTACCTGCAAGCTGTGGATTTCTGACATCAGAAAGGAAGGAGTAGCCAACGTCTTTGTTGACCAAGTCCTCTGCAATCTTGTCATAGTCTGCTCTGATGTCATGGCCCATCAGGATCCCCTGTTCCCATGCCTCTACCAGCTTGACCTCTGTCCCTTCAAAGACCTTGCAGAGATCAGCAAAGTCCACCTGCTCCCCTCTGTACAACATGGTCTTCCAGGTCTTGGTGTCTGTCCACCACACTCGAGGAAGGCTCATGGTGTCCAAGGCCAGGGAAGTCGCTCTGTGTTGCAGGGAACACAGACGGGAGAAAGTATATCGGGTATTCTCCACAAAGAAGCTCTCCAGGTCTGAACAGTGCTCCTCTTCATCCTTCTGTGGGTCTGACTCCATGCGACTGTGGATCTCCATGAGAAAGGTGAGTCGCATGCAGTACTCCAACCTGGCTATGATCGGGGTGACTTGATGTGGCTCTTTGAAGGCACCATCTTCTCTGAGAGTCATCAGGGCAAGACACCTTTCAGTGGGATCCACAATGTCCCTGTCTCCTTGATGCTTCCATGCTGTGCTCCAGAGCTGGAACAGCAACTCATGGATGAGCGACAATGCTTCTGTGTCTTCTTGACCGATGCGAAGCACTGCCAAGAGATCTAACAGCTTGGGATTTGAACCAGAGAATGGCCCTCCACTGTACTGTTGTCTGATCAACATTGCCAGCAGAATCACCACTGGGATGATGTACTGTTTCATGGTTGACTCATACAGGTGCTTGTGGAAGGGTGTGTTGGACAGGCCACTGGGAAGGAATAAGCGACCGGTCGCTTATCTGTGCATGCATGGCTGCTTACCTTTTCATGGGATTGGGGGAATTCAACCTTTTCCGGACAATCTCTCCTGTGTGCTCCAGCAGACTGAGGGCCTTTTGATAGTATGCTTGAACCACCTCCTTCAGTCCAGGAATGAGACCATCATCTGCCTTGGGTAACATGACCAGGCCACACTGCTGTTTGATGTTCTTGCCAGCAAGGTGTTCATGCCACTGTGTTGTCAACAACCAAGGGCTGATCATGCGACCATCTGGTGGTGATTGGACCACCTCTAGTGTGGGCTCCAGTTCTTTGAGCAGCGAGTCCACCAGTACCTGTCTGGCTGTTGGTTGGCTCTGCTTGTCTGCATCCTCAACCTCCCAGAATGCCTGCAGTTCCCCCGAGCTTTCTTTCAAATGCTGTACCTTGCAAGCTCTCCAATGTTTTGGTCTAGTTTCCATTGGATGATCTCTGGAGTGATGTTTCCGCAGACGCTCTGTTGACCTGGACAAAAAGTCACAGTGACTGCAAGCCATGGCCTCAATGACTTTTAGACCATGGACAATGGTTCTAGGCCCAGTAATACCAGTGGGCAGCTGTTCTGTCACCTCCAGTGATGCCATGGCCAGCTTCAAGGTCATGTCACTGTAGGTTGCCTGTCTGCCATGGATCTTTGCCAGATGGCTCTTGACTTCTCCTTCTCTCAATGCCATTTCACAGACTTGGCATGTCAGGAAGTGGAACTCTGCATTCACTGCAAGGTTCAATGAATCCAGAAACCCATTGGAGATGAGTCCTGGGGTTGTGGTCAATGGCAAGTTTGGCTGCTGTGACCTTTGTGCTAAAGATGGCACAATGTTGCCAGTGTTCTGGTTGTGGGCTTGGATTGCTGACTGAAAGAACTTGAGTCTGGTTGTTCACAAGTTGACTCTGATAGACTCACCATGAGAGATGGCAATCGTGGTGCTGGTGCTTGAGGGGATTTTTGGGGAGGGACTGACTTGTGGGCCATAGGTGACACCATCCTCACATCACCCTGGATGATTTTCCAGTCCATGGATAAGCGACCGGTCACTTATTGTGGGGAAGCAATGACACTCACCTCTGGTGGTGGTGGTGGTGAATGCATGATTTCATCTTGTGGCATCGACCAGTTAGGAGATGGGATCTGACCCAAATCCTCCAATATCTGTTTCCCTGTTTAGTACTGTGGGGAGAGGACAGATAGATATGCACCATCTACTCACTGGTGATCCAAAGGACCTTTGATGGAACTGGTGTGCCATGACCATCCATCATTCCCTTGTTTCCAATAGCTATGGGCATGGTACTCACATCTCTGGTGTTACTCTCACTGATCTCATCATGCTACAATGACATTGAGCAGATGAGTGCTGGTCCTGCTTATTCTGCCTGGAGATGCTGCTTACCAAATACTTGCTGGCCCTGCTGGGACCACCTGCATTGCTGTCATGACTGCTGTCACTCTCACTGATCTCATCATGCTTCAATGACATTGAGCAGATAAGTGACTGGTTGCTTATTCTGCTTGAGCAAGCCACTTACCAAGTCCTTGTTGGGACCACTAGCTTTTCCTTCCTCTTCATGGGGCTGTGATGGTGATGACATGGGTGACTGGTCACTTTCTCCTGATCAGAGCACTTACCGAGTCCCTGCTGGGTCCAGCTCCAATCCCTTGTCCTTGGGTCTGTGATGTATGAATAAGTGACAAGCTGCTTATTTTTGCTCACTGACAATGTCACTCACCATGCCAGGTTGTTTCATGGTACCACTGGGACCACCTGCTTCTCCACCATCATGGGCCTGTGACAAGCAGATAAGCGACCGGTCGCTTATTTTGCTAGTTGACAATGTCACTCACCAAGGCAAGTTGTTCCATGGGTGGTTGACCCTGCTAATGAGGTCAGTGACAATTCTAAATAAGGAAATGATTTCCCACAATTACCATGCTACCATCACCAATCCATGTAGTGCCAGCCTTCTGGATGTGAGCTCTAAGGCTACTAGCATACTTGAATGGCCTGGGACAACTACTGTGAGAGCAATAACAGATGAAGTCCCCCTCCAGATTCCTTTCTAGAGCTATGACTTGTTTGGTATGGGCTAGGTAAATGGTGGCCCTGGGACTGCACTTCTTGATGTGTAAATTGTAGTCCTTCTTGCTGGCAAGAGTTTCACTGCAGGAGCAACAATCATAGCTTGGCATGGTTGAGATGGTGGTGGTAAGAGGAAGAGATGCAAGAAAGAAAAGTTCCCACAGTCTTATGAAGTTATTTGGTCTGCACAAACACTCCAGGTGGAGTATTAACCCCATTTGTATTACCCCATTAGGAAATCAGGGGGGGGGGGGTTGCTATTTAGTTCTTGGCATTCAGCAGGTGCACTTGGTACACCTTGACTTGTGACTTAGTGGCCTCATTTGCTACTCATAGTTTGTCTTTACACTTGCATGCAGATAGGCAACCAGTCGCTTATTTGTGTAGACTCCCAACTTGTTAGTGAGGTATATATTGAAATTTCATTTACTTTCTATAGATAACTGTTACTAGTCATTAGCCCATCATATCTCAGACAAGTTTTAGGGGCTAACCTCATAGGAAACTCTCCATCCACAGACACTTCTTGTGGGAAACTGAAGGTCAAGCATGGGTTGCTACTCATAATTTTTCATTACATGGTTGGCACACTTGCTTCCAAATAAGTGACCAGTTGCCTATTGTTAAGGCCTAACCCATGGTGAATTCCATATATGGCATTTGCATTCAGTGGCTGTGTAGGTACATGCATGATACCTACACTCTTTGCTAGATGCATGCATGCATTCCTAGATGCATGCACCCTTTCCTAGATGCATGTGCACTTTCCTAGATGCATGCACTGATGCATGCACCAATGCTACACTCTTCTCTAGATGCATGTGCACTTTCCTAGATGCATGCACACATTCCTAGATGCATGCACGCATTCCTAGATGCATGTGCACATTCCTAGATGCATGCATGCACACATTCCTAGATGCATGCACCCTGTTCCTAGATGCATGCACTGGTGCTACACTCTTCTCTAGATGCATGTGCACATTCCTAGATGCATGCACCAATGCATGCACCAATGCTACACTGTTCTCTAGATGCATGTGCACTTTCCTAGATGCATGCACGCATTCCTAGATGCATGCACCCTTTCCTAGATGCATGCACCCTTTCCCTAGATGCATGTGCACATTCCTAGATGCATGCACCCTTTCCTAGATGCATGCACGCATTCCTAGATGCATGCACCCTTTCCTAGATGCATGCACGCATTCCTAGATGCATGTGCACATTCCTAGATGCATGCACCCTTTCCTAGATGCATGCACGCATTCCTAGATGCATGCATGCATTCCTAGATGCATGTGCACATTCCTAGATGCATGCACCCTTTCCTAGATGCATGCACGCATTCCTAGATGCATGCACCCTTTCCTAGATGCATGCACGCATTCCTAGATGCATGCTCCCTTTCCTAGATGCATGCATGCTTTCCTAGATGCATGCACGCTTTCCTAGATGCATGCACGCATTCCTAGATGCATGCTCCCTTTCCTAGATGCATGCACGCTTTCCTAGATGCATGCACGCTTTCCTAGATGCATGCACGCATTCCTAGATGCATGCACCCTTTCCTAGATGCATGCACGCATTCCTAGATGCATGCTCCCTTTCCTAGATGCATGCACGCATTCCTAGATGCATGCACCCTTTCCTAGATGCATGCAGGCATTCCTAGATGCATGCTCCCTTTCCTAGATGCATGCACGCATTCCTAGATGCATGCTCCCTTTCCTAGATGCATGCACGCTTTCCTAGATGCATGCACGCTTTCCTAGATGCATGCACGCATTCCTAGATGCATGCTCCCTTTCCTAGATGCATGCACGCTTTCCTAGATGCATGCACGCTTTCCTAGATGCATGCACGCATTCCTAGATGCATGCACGCTTTCCTAGATGCATGCACGCATTCCTAGATGCATGCTCCCTTTCCTAGATGCATGCACGCATTCCTAGATGCATGCACCCTTTCCTAGATGCATGCATGCTTTCCTAGATGCATGCACACTTTCCTAGATGCATGCACCAATGCTACACTCTTCACTAGATGCATGCACGCATTCCTAGATGCATGCACCAATGCTACACTCTTCTCTAGATGCATGTACACTTTCCTAGATGCATGTGCACTTTCCTAGATGCATGCACGCTTTCCTAGATGCATGCGGACCCTGGGGCAGGGTCCGGAAAGCATATTATTAAAGATTAGGTCCAGGACATATGGGGCATTGGTGGGGAAACAGTGCAGGAGATAACTGCCAGCAGGTTTCTGAATTGATCAATGGTGCTGATAGCATATTCTATTGATTATACTATAGTGTACAACAGAATTTGCTGAGGTTGCCCTGAGGGAATGTCCCTGATGAGCCAGAATGGTGATTTCTTGACTTGTATTACAACAAGGAGGCTTAGTGGTGCAAAATCACTGTTTGGCATTGTTTGTTTGTTGAAAAATCATTCAGTAGACCATATGATACATTATGTAAGCATTGGTGAGCATCTCACCATGTTTTATATGTGTTCCCAAGGACTACATCCCCAGTATATCACAAAGTTACATAATTGTCCCAATGAGCTCTCATTTTCATTTGGGTATTCTGTCATCAGTTTCTATCCAAATATTATGTAATATGGCTCATCAGAGAGCCATGACCAGCTTCTTTGATCCATCCACCAACACCTTGGACTCAATAGTGATAGTTCACTCACCACACCATGATTAATGAAAAACATGCAAACATTGGGACAATTTTGTGAGCCACTGTATCTGTTGTCCTTTGCCCATTGCCAGAGTTTTTCTGGGTATTCACTGACAAGTTTGTGCTCTGTGGCTGTGGGCTTCCAGGAGGAGACTTTTCCCACTGAAGGGTCCTCTGGTTTTGCATCCAAGCCAGTCAGGTGTCCAATCAGCCCTTTCAAACTGATGGCCCATTCAACCTGAGCCTTGTAGTATAGCCAGTTGCTTCCATCCACATTTAGGGTTGGGACTTGCAAGGAATGATCATCTTTTGCCATAGTGGGTATTGTTGCTGTGTAATAACTCATTCAGGTTCCCAGTTTCTTGGCAATGATTCACTGTGTTTTCTAAGTGTGCTGTTTCCTCATTTGGATCTGTGGGGTATTGGGGGCTTCAACCATCCAGCCCATGAGCCTAGCCAGCGACTGTCATTCCAATGGCAAGTTAGAAATTTGTTATGCCAGGTTGACTCACCTTTTATGTGTGATCCATCCTTTGCTTTTATCTGCTAAGATGTTATGCAGAAATGTGCTGCAAACAATAACACCATGTTTTGCATCAGCAGAACTACAGCCATCTTAATTTTACTTAATTACAACTTATTACAGCTTAATTACTTGGCCATTTATGCCAAGCCCATTGAGTATGTGTTCTGGAGTTACAGTAGTGTCTCAGAGTTTTGCCCAGAGGGCTTGGAATTTCTCCCCAACCTTCAGAATTAAATTCCAATGTCAACCCACTTAGTAATTACAGTACTATAAATTTTCCACACTGTTATTTTCCACCTCAGTGACTACTGTGTGCACTGAGAACTCATACCTTCATTAGGCTATGAGCCCTGCTCTTGTGTTCTAATTCTGAAAGATTCTTTGTCACCACAAATCTCTTCTGCTTTTCATTTCCCAATCCTGCACTGTGTTTTGTATAGTTCCAATGGGTCCTGGTGAATCAAATAAAATCATTTATTGCATCACACACCTCATGGTTTGATGTAGCTTTCTTCTCTAATTGCAAACTATTGCACAGATATTGCACCAATAGATCTCACACTGGCCATGCATTCTTGTATTTCTGGAATATCTTGTATTCTAATTGCACCTACATAGAGATTATAATGCATATATGCATATATATGACAATGACATACCTGAAAAATAACTTTCTTGATGAGTAGCTTGTTTTTTCGCTGCATTATCATTCGACTTGTATCAAGTTTCTGGTTTCCAAGTTTGCAAATACCACACTACTTTTATCAGCAAGATCAGTGTCACATATGAAAAAGAATACAACCTTTAGGTGATTAAAGAATTCCTTCTTCCTCTGGTGGGAGATGGACTTTCCCCTCACTAGACCTTGATGAGGTCCAGAGGCTTGGTGTGGTGGCTGCCCCACTGCCTAAGAAGTGAGTTATATGGGTGAAATCCCCATCAGGTGTTCAAAGTGAAACTAGTTCACCCCCTCCATCTGGAAGGATGGGTGTCAAGCCCCCCTGAGCCAACACTAAAAACAATCACTGAGCCTTTAGAGGTATGTACAGCTGTGGGTACAAGCCTGGGGTGCTGGAGGGAGCTGTTTGGTCTAGGCCCTTCTGCAGGAGGTTTCTGTTGGCATAGATATTTGGTCAGCCACCCTGCTTAATCACATGATTCAGTCACTTGTAGTCCTAAAAGTGGGTCATCTGACATGTACATTTCGTCCTGAAACTGGGACTAACTGACATCGGCCGGTGGTCCCTAGGGTTGGGTAGGCTGGACTGTGAAGGTGGGGTCAGCCTATGTCACAGGATGATGGATCAACTTCCCTGGAAGTGGGGTCGGCTGACATGACTATAGCATGGATTGATGGCCTGGAAGTGAGGTTGGCTGATGCAGCTATGGGATGAATTAGTGTCCTGGAAGTGGGGTCGGCCAACACAGCTATGGGATGAATTAGTGTCCTAGAAGTGGGGTCGGCCGACACAGCTATGAGATAGATTAGTGTCCTAGAAGTGGGGTCAGCCGATGCAGCTATGGGATAGGTTAGTGTCCTGGAAGTGGGGTTGGCCAACACAGCTATGGGATGAATTAGTGCCCTAGAAGTGGGGTCAGCTGATGCAGCTATGGGATAGGTTAGTGTCCTGGAAGTGGGGTCGGCCGACACAGCTATGGGATGAATTAGTGCCCCAGAAGTGGGGTCAGCTGACACAGCTATGAGATAGATTAGTGTCCTAGAAGTGGGGTCAGCCGATGCAGCTATGGGATAGGTTAGTGTCCTGGAAGTGGGGTTGGCCAACACAGCTATGGGATGAATTAGTGCCCTAGAAGTGGGGTCAGCTGATGCAGCTATGGGATAGGTTAGTGTCCTGGAAGTGGGGTCGGCCAACACAGCTATGGGA